CAGCAGAAGTGGCAGGGCCTGGGCCAGGACCACGAGGCCCTCGCAGCTACTGGGAGAAGCTTCCAGGCCCAGGGCAGCCAGTGATGAAGGGGCGAGGCGTGGACAGCAGAGACGCGACCGTGGCGGCTGGGGTGACAAGCAGGCCAGGCAGGGTCCAGGGGGGACAGCTCGTCCTCTGCACCCAGAAGGGCCCTGGCTTCCCTCCTGCAGGCCAGAACTCCACCCGGGCTGCTTAGGAGACACCCCTGCCCTGTCCTCTGTCCTGGGGACAGACCTCCTCTCCCAGGCCCTCGCCTCAGAGCTGCAAGGGGGGGCTCTGGGCGGCGGCTACACCCTGTGGGCTCCTCCCTCAGCAGCTCATCAGACCAGGAAGTGAAGGCTTAGGGAATGTCACAGCTGGGACTGGCTTAGTGCCAGCACGTGACCAGACACTACAGTGGTGAGGCCCACCAGGGCTGCAGCACCCTCCCCTGGAGCTGGCACAGCCCGGGGACAGACAGAGAGGGATTAGAGACCCAGGAAGCTCCCAGCCACGTGACCTGAGCAAGCAGTTGCCTGCCCTCTGCGGAGCTCAACTTCCGGTCTGTGACACAAAGTGAGAGGGGGGTCCTGCGGGGAGACGGAGGCGGCCTCCAGCAGTGCCCGCCTCTCAACACAGCCAAGGCCGCTGTCCTGACCAGTACCATCTGCCGAGGCAGGGACTGGGTTCCCTGAGGACAGCCACGGGAACTCTGCAGCCTCCCCAGAAGCCTCCTCTGAACTCCTGACCAGTCCCCAGAGGACCAGCCAGGGCTGCCTCCCATGAAGCCCCTGCCTGGCCCCGACCCTGGGCCCTGCAACCTGGACGGACCACCCAGCATCAAGACCCGAGGAAATGAGAAGTGCCCCCACAGCCCGCCGGCGGGGCAGGCAGGGGCGACTTCACGGCCAGTCACTGGCCAGGCGGCCACGGCGGCCAGCACAGGAAGCTCCCCGGACACCACTGATCTCGGCGAAACCTAATATCTTTAATGCAAGCCTTCGGAAAAACACCGGGGAAGGCAGCCAAGGGGACCGCTCCCAGGACCGGCTTTCTGGATCCCTCCGTGCTGCTGAGGCTCGCAGGGCAAGGAGCCAAGAGGAGAAGAAAATACCAATAAACACCACGAGGACCACGGGCACTCCTCGCCACGCCCTGAAGCAACGCACAGGAGGGCAGCGGCCTCCCCTGGGCACCCACGGGCACAGTCTCAACAGACCACATCTGGGCAGTGGAGTCACGCCCGAGCAGTACAGATGGAAGCCCTGTCCCACCCCACCTGCCTCCCGGGGGGCTGCATGGGTGACAAGGGTGCCCAAAGGCAGGTACGGTGGACGGCCACCAGCTTCCCAGGGCTCGCTCGCCCCAGGTTCCCTGGCCAGGGAGCAGAGAGACCTGGACAATAGGCTGGGATAAGGAAGCCCCTGGCTTCTGCCCAGCTCGGCCCTTTGGGCCCAAACAGGACAGGGAAAGAGAAGCTGAGGGCCAAGAAGCAGGGCTGCCCACACCCTCATGTGGAGGCTCTTCTTGGTCCATAAACAGAAAAAAACACCAGAGGCCAGTCTGGACACGGGGGTGGGACTGTCAACCTTATCCCACTCTTCATGGGGCAGTGCAGGGTCATCCTACAAGTGCAGGACCCTTCCACCATGAAGCTCTGGTCATGCTGAGGTGACCACAGCCAGCCTCAGGGAGAGGCTCCAGGGTCTTCGCCCTCCCACTCTCCTGTTTACCATTAACTGCAAGGTCACAGATCTGTGTGTCCTGTCTCTCCATTTTATCTTCAGCATAGTCAGCACTTTATACATGCTTAGGACATTACACGCTTAACTAATGGTTGGTTGGTGGGTAGACGAACAGGTGAATGGATGGATGGATAAGTGGATGTTTGGAGGGTCAGTATTGGATGGATAAATGGATCAATGCATGGTTGAATGATGGATGGATGGATGATGGTGGATGGAAGATGGTGGATGAGTGAATGATTGGATGACAGTAAATAAATGCATGAAGGAATAGAAAAATGGATGGTCGAATGGATGGAGAGGTGGACAAATCAAGGAATGGACAGATGGATGATGGTCAAAAGGTGAGATTGAATGGATGAATGGATGATTGGTTGGACAGTTGGTTGGATGGATGTAACAGCTGGCTGGCTGGCTGGCTGGCTGGATGGATGGATGAGGGTGAATGGGTGGTGGCTGAATGGTTAATAGTGGATGGATGAAGGGATGGGTGGATGGATGAGTAGATGAATGGATAGTTGAATGGATAATGAGTGGATGGATAAATGGATGAAGGAATGATGGATGAACTGAGGAATGAATAGATGGGCAGATTATGAATGAATGGACAGTCGGATGGAGGAATGAAGAGGTGGATGGATGAATGAAAGTCAGAGGATGGATGGGTGGATACTTGGTTGAACAGTTGGGTGAATGGATGGATGAGTAGAGGAATAGATGAATGAGTGAATTAGTCAATTAATACATTTAGTCTTTCCAAGGAACAACTCAATCACGTAAGAAACTGGGGAAGCTCAGAATTAGCTATTTAGGAAACAAACAAGAAACCCAGAGCCTGGGCAGGACCTGAAACACGCCAAACCTTCCTAAGTAACAGAAAAGATGGTACTTTCTAAATCAGCCTGATCCTGAAGCACCAGCTCTTCTCTAAGGGTCCTTTCATGCCCCAAATCCAACAAATGTGAGTGGGAGAGGCCAGGCAAGGAGAAGTGAAGAGAGACCTCCTCCCAGTCCCGGGCCCACACCTCTCAGCAGACTGGCCAGTCGATCCCAGACGCTCACTAATCCCAGAACAAGGCCCGACACCTCAACGCAGGCCCAGGCAGGTTCCCTCGGCAGCAGAGTGGGAGGCCATGGAGACTGACCCTTTGCCTGGAGTGACATCATCACTTGCACTCCCTGGCTGGGCTGGGCTGGGGGCTGGAGTCCAGCCTAGCTCTGCTCTGAGAACCAAGGGATCAGAGGGAGCGCATGTGGACACTCAAGGCTGTCCCCCATCCTGTGGCTGCCATTCCTGTCCAACCATGAAGTCACAATGACTCAAGTTTCAAGTTGGGCTCCCCCTTCGCTGTGGCCTGAGGTCCAGCCCACTGTCTGCTCACAGCTCACGACAGCAGGTGCCAAGTACAGCAAAGCCCCACCACTGACCACAGTGAGGCAGGCCTGAGACCAGAGGGAGGCCCCAGGATAGACCCAGTGCAGACCAAGCCACCTCCTCAAAACCTCCGATGATGACAAAGGCGTCCCTCTGCAAGCTGTCTGGCCTCACCACTGGCCACTGCAGCAGATTAGAGCAAAATGAAATGACACACTGAAGCTGCTAGGCCAAGACCCGAGCGTGGCCAGGGGGTCCATCTACTCCTTGATGCATTTATTTTCAATGCCAGCTCTGCCTATGAGGGGCGGGCATGTCCGTGGACATGTGAACACATGAATCTGTATCTGTCTTTTTTTTGTTTGGGTACCAGGGATTGAACTCAAGGGTCCTTAACCACTGAGCCATATCCCCAGCCCTATTTTGTATTTTATTTAGAGACAGAGTCTCATTGAGTTACTTACGGCCTCGCTTTTGCTGAGGCTGGCTTTGAACTCTCGATCCTCCTGCCTCAGCCTCCCAAGCCACTAGGATTACAGGTGTGCACCACTGCACATGGCTATGAATCTGTATCTTAAATGTGTGTTTATGCACAAGTGTGTGTGCATCTGAAGACATGCAAGCTGTGTGTGTGCACAGGAGTGTGTGTGTGCACGTGTTTTGGCCTCCCCCAGTGTCCGACCATCAGCCTCTCCCTGCCCAGGGCCCTGCGGACAGCTCCGTCTCCACTCCTCACACAGCTACAGGGCAGGAGAGAATTCTCAGCCATTTCAACAGACCTGCTGGAACTGAGAAGCCACTTACAGGAAGAGAAACCAGCCTGGCGCCACCCAAGCTCTGCTGCAGCCCACTCGGTACCAAGCTCCCTGCACACATCTGTGGCCCGGGACCTCGGGGTGTCAGGCAGGAGATGGACAGAAACATCCAGGAGCTGGGGACCAGGCTCTGAGTTTTCTTACGCAGCACTGGGATGGAACCCAGGGCCTTTCGTGTGCTAGGCAAGAGCTCCCCACTGAGCCACGTCCCCAGTCCTGGAAGCAGGCTCCGAAGGGGTCCCCAAGTCTCAAGTCTAGAGAATCCCAGGACTGAGCAGGAGACACACAGGGCCCGGTGGCTCATGGGAGTCCTAGTGTCAGATGCCTGTGTGACAGGCCAGCACTGCAGGGAGGGGCTTTCTGGAGCTGACTTCTCAGATCTGCAGCCACAAACACAAAACCCACCCTGCAACTCAGAGATCACACACCCAGAGCATGTCCCAAGTCCCTGACAACAGTCCTCAAGAAAGGAGGCAAGGGGCACCTCGGCCACTTCCCAACAGCAGGTGGGAAGCGGCTCCGGGGGAGTCGGGGGAATCTGGGAGTCGGGAGAGTTGGGGGAGTCTGGGAGTCGGGGGAGTCCAGGGAGCAGCTGTATGAGAACCCGCAGCAGCAGCAAGCAGGCCAGGCTGCATATGGGCCTCCATGGGAGGCCAGGCCAGGGGACCACCTGGTTCCCGGTCACCTTCAGCTAGGCGCCATCCACCCAGAAGATGCCAGAGCCCTGACCCTACTGGGTCTGGAGTAACCGTGCTTGGACAGCAGGTCACTCTGTACCCAGGCGTGCTAGCGAGCCGCGGCCTCCACACCTCTACACCTCCCCGCTCCCACACCAGCAGTGCCCACTAAGGTGGACTCAGACACCTGAGGTCACCTGTCTGACAGGAAGGATGTCCCACCTCCCACCCGACACGCAGACCTGGCATCCACACCTGGACAAGCGGGTTGGTCTCAGCTCAGGTTGGAGGTGGCGGGCCGTTCTGCTCACATGGCCCACCCACACTCAGCCACCACATCGCGTGCAGCGCCTGGAGGAGCCCACTCACCTTCCCGAAGTCTCGGACGTCAAAGAGGTCAAAGGGATCAAACAGCTCGCTGCTCCTCAGCCCGAACTTGTCATGGCAGACTTTAAGGAAGGTGCGGATGTTCTTCAGGCACAGGAACTAGGGGCAAGAAGAGGCACAGTGAGGCGGGCACACAGGGCACAGCACAGCAGGTCTGCCCCAGTTTGTGCTCGGGCACACCCCTGCTCCCCACACAGGACATGGGCCCGGGCAGCCGAGGAACCCCACCCCCAGGCTTGAGCAGGCGGGCCTGGCCGGAGCCACCAAAACTCCACAGCCTCAGGCTGGGCCACTGCAGGCCTCTGGCCTCCCACGCAGAGCTGCAGACCCAGAGGGCCCCTGCACTGAGCGGGGCCACCGTGTCAGCTAGGTCCAGGCCCAACAGACAACCTCTTGGCTCGTGTTAGACCCACAGCTCTGCCCAAGTGCCTCCAGCACACCGGAGGCTGCCAGTCCTGGAGGAAGAGACTCCAGTCCACAGGGGCGCAGGAGCACACTTGTACAGACACACAGGGGTGTGCACACACGCGCACACACACACATGCACAACTGCTCCCTATCTACTTCACAGGCAGCAAACCCACAGCCAGAGCCATCCCAGGAAGCCACACTGGACCCAGGGAACGGCCAGCCACAATGGGGGGTAATGGCAGCCAGAGGTGAGCATTCCCAGACAGACATCTGGGTCACCTCCTCTCCACTCACCACCCCCACAACAGAGCTCCAGGCCTGCTCTGGGCTTGACCCGGCAGGAGGTGGGGAGGGCAGTGGTGACCAGGGCGGCATCTTCCAGTTCTCACGGAGAATCCGCAGGTAGAGACCCCTATGGGGCAGCAGGCAAGGAAGCTCGGTGCAGGCCGCGTCGGGCCCTGAGTTCAAATCCTGTCTGCCATCATTAACGAGCAAGACCAGCGGGAGTGTTTCTCCTGGAGCCTGGGTTCCTGATGCACCTGCATGGCTGGGCTGGTGACAGCCCTGAGGGCACCTGGGTACATATGGAAGCCATCATCCCCTACCCAGCGGAGCACAGGCACAGGGCAAGGACCTCAGCACACAGGGCCCCCAAAAAATTCAGGACTCCAGGCCAACACCATCAGTCACCACCCCCCACCAGGGATAAACGGCCTGGTCAAGAGGACAGAAGGAAGCCTGCCCCTGCTCACCAGACATTTAGACTAACGGACAAATCTGGATGAAGGACAACCGGGAACCAGTGCCCAAGAGCTTCAGCGCCCAAGAGCTTCAGGTGTAGGTCGGCGTGAGGCCAGCCGCACTCTGGAGCCCCAGGCCACACGCAGCTCAGCCCCAGCAAATGGCCCCCCACCCAGGCCACTCCATCCTGAGCAGGCAGGCTGTGCTCACGGACGACGCTGACCCGCTCCCTTGACCACACAGTTGTTCCCAGTGTCTGTCCGTCCGTCTCTGTACATACGATTTCTTCTCAGGATCTGAGATTCACTGCAGGCACAATCCTCCATTACCCCTGCTAAGAACAAGGCCAGGCCTCCAGGGCCAGCGCCACCGTCAACACCCACAGGGTGCCGGGTCCAGACCTGACCTGCACCTCTTCGCTGGGTAAAGGACAACCACGTTCCTTCCTAACAAAAAGGGTCTTTAAAAACCTGGCACAGGGTGCAACCCAGGATCACACGTGACTCCAGGGCCCACGGGCCTTCACTCTCCACACCTGAGAGCGAGGTTCTGGGCCGGACTTCCCAGCATGATGGCAGTTCCTTCTGTTCACTAGGACAGCCCCTGAACGCAAGTGCCCACTGAGCACTTGAACATGTGGCTTGTCCAGTTAGGAATGCGAACTCTATGTGATTTTAAGGAAGTTAAACTTGCAATCCGCAGTGGCTTGTCACTGTGGTGGCGACACGGTCTGAAACGACCCCGTCTCTGACCTCTGCCCTCTGATAACTCTGAGGAACACAGACACAGAAAGACAAAGAACGGGTTCCGTCACTCACCCCAGGCCATCAAAATCACAGCCACAGAGAGCAAGTGGGGTGCCGGGCGCGGGACAGGAGGCAGGTGTGGCAGGACGGACACCAGCCCGGATGACGGGAGGCTCCTGGAGGGCGAGCGGGCGGCTGAGGACAGCTGGGAATCCTGAGGACAGTCAGTGTCACCTCACCAATGTTCTATCACAACAGAGTTCAAGAGAGACACGGAGACATGGGCCCCGTGATGACAGCGACAGGGACGGGAGGGACACAGTCATGGGCTAGCATCACTGAGCGTCACCAGCAGCCACTGGAGCTGGGAGAGAGGCCCGGACACTTTCCCTCTTGGACCCCAAAAAGTATAAGCCAAAAACAGCTGACCTCTGGCCTCGCACTGGGATGGTGCGTCTGTGGCCAAGCCCAGGCCCAGGCCACCCAGCCCAGGTCCTGGGCCACTAAGCCCAGGCCCAGGCCACTAAGCCCAGGCCCAGACCACCAAGCCTAGGCACTGGCCACCCAGCCCAGGCACAGGCCACCCAGCCTAGGCACTGGCCACCCAGCCCAGGCACAGGCCACCAAGCACAGGCCAAGGCCACCCAGCCCATGCCCAGGCCACCAAGCACAGGCACTGGCCACCCAGCCTGGATGGTGGGGCGAGGGGATGGGCTGGACCCCGGAGTACCCAAGCCAGCAGGGCTCTGTGGCTCCCAGCCGGGCTCAACCTGCCTTGCATGTGGCTCCTCTCCGACCCCCACTGCTTCCTCTGACTCCCCCTTGGCCTCCCACATTAGAGCTAAGCCCAGGTCCTGATCATGATCCCAGCCAGGCCTCCTCCAGGGTCGTGTCTGTGGCCTGGCCCGGCCCACCCTGGCCCAGCACGTGGACACTCCAGCCAACCCAGCTCTGGGAACCGCTCCCAGGGCAGTGTCCACCGGGAACCCCCGTCCAGCCCCTGGAAAAGAGCTGGGCAGGCAGACGCAGGCTTCAGGGCCAGGACAGAGAGCCCTGGGACAGAGAGCCCAAGGACAGAGAGCCCACGCAGGCCACGCACGGCCTGGCCTCCTTCATGGAGCCCTCCCGACCCTGCTGCCCGGCACGGTCCCTCCTGGCCTTTCCAGGACAAGTCTCACTTTACACCGAGAGAAGTGGAAGGTGGCAGAGCCCAAAAGCCAGGCCTGCTCCAGAGCAGAGCCCCTGAGGACAGCCAGGCCTCTCCACCCTCCAAAGCACTGCTGAGAGTGGCCAAGTCCACTCCCACCAGGGCCCGTGTGGACAACGAGCTCCACGGCCACTGGCCCCTCTCTTGCTGCACCTCAGGGACGCAGAGGCCAGAGGTGGAGAGGGACCACAGAGGGCTGTGTGGCAGGGAAGGGCTAGCCGTGTCTTCATGGCTGGCCCCTTCCCTTCCCACAAAGGCGGGCAGTGGGTAGCTGTTTCTGCCACTTGGGTCCCACCTCCCCGCACCGTCCCAGGACTTGGGAGGGCAAGTGGCCAGGGCCTGGCTGGTCAGAACCCCACAGCCACAAGCAGCAGGCCCAGGCTCAGATTCTAGAACCGTCTCCTGAAGGCCTGGGAGGGACCCGGGGCGAGGCCGCCACAGGCCCGCCTCTTCCACATGGGCCTCAGGAGGACAGAGCTGAGGGGAGGGGCGGGGGAGGCCAGACCCTGCCCGGCTCAGGCCGAGGTTCCCAGTCCTTGCCCGAGCTGGGGGCTCCTTGCTGCCAGGGAAGGCCTGAGGTCAGCCCGTCCCGTGGCTCCGGGAGCAAGCAGCTCTGCTCTCGCCGGCCTATCCCAGCCTGTGGGACCCCACAGGGCCACCGCGTCACCAGCACTGTGAAGCAAGCACATCCCCAGAGCAGGCTCAGCCGAGGGCCCACAGGAGGGTCTGTCCCCAGAACACTGGCCCTGTCAAGGCCCTGGGAGGCTTTCCAGCTGGCAGACAGCAGGGCCCACTGTGTTTGTCCAGGACACTCTGAGGGGGCATGGCCACCCTGCCCCCTGCACCCACAGCCCCACCCCAGGGCAGGATTCCGCCCCAGGGCGAATGGTGCTCCACACAGGACTGTGTCCTCCGCACAGCGCTGGTGTCCTCCGCACAGGACTGTGTCCTCCGCACAGGACTGTGTCCTCCGCACAGGACTGTGTACTCCGCACAGGGCTGTGTCCTCCGCACAGGGCTGTGTCCTCCGCACAGGGCTGGTGGAGAGGCGCCGCGGTCTGCACACTGGGAACGCTGCTGCTTCCCTGGCCATCCACCAGCCCCTGGAGCCCACAGGGCTGATTCAGACCAGGGCTAGGACACAGGCTCTACGCCCAGCTGCCCATCACCTCCCAGGTCAGCCAGACAATGAGCCTAGGTCGCTGTTCACTGTCATTGGTCACTGTACTCTTGATGGACCCAGGGCAGCAGGGGCGAGGATGTCAGAGGCCAGGACACCACAGCTGAGCCACACAGAGGCCACCAAGAGCAACCTTGAGGGACACTCCGTGGCCAACTCCACGTGGCCTCACCACAGCTACTTCTCAGTGAGCCTCTGAACCAACTGGCCAGGATGGAGTCAGCCCTCCCTGCCCCAGAGGAGCACATAGCCACCTAACAGGGCCACCACCAGGCGAAGCAGCCTGGGGCTGCACAACCACATCACCCCTGTGCTGCTGGGGACAGAAACGGCACCGGCCTGGCCCCCATCCAGAGCTCAGTCCATGTGGACGCCCTCAGGCCCCAGGGCTGCACAGACCCTGCCACGCCGTCACCCCTGTCACCCCATGCTGCTGGGACAGGAAATGGCACAGGCCTGCCCTCCCTCCAGAGCTCAGAACATGGACACCCTCAGGCCTCAGCACTGACCGTGGGTACAGACAGGAGGCTGAGGCCCAGAGAGGCAAACCCACTCACAGGCCACGTGTCCAGCTGGCTTTGGCCAGGGATCTGCAGTGTGGGCACAGGCGGCCTGGGCACTGGTCACTGGGTGGCAAAGGGCGACAATGGGGTAGCACCATGCTGTGTGGGCAGCCCAAGTCCACAGGGAAACAGTGTGCCCCCATGTGGCCGCAGGCCCGGGGGTGTGGAAGTCCTGCTCGCCAACGGAAGAGCTGCTCCTCTAAGGCCTGGACTCTGTGGCCAGCTCCCACCGTGTGGCCACCAGGGAGGAGCAAGGTGCCGAGTGCTGCTCTGGGGACACGGTCACCGCTGGTGCAGCCCTGACCTCTGGTTCCAGGCCCCTCACTGCCCACATTCAGGATTTCATCTAACAGTGAGGGTCCAGCCCAGAGCTCCAGGGGGCCCTCCCAGCGTGGACCCTCTGGGAGTCTCGAGGCACTGACTCATGACAATCACAAAAGCTCCGCTGTGGGGAGGGTTTCCCAGAACACCAGGCGCTGGGCCAGCAGCCTCACTGGGCTGCTTACAGCAACCCTGGTCATTACAGCAACTCTCTATATAGAAGAAGAAACAGAGGTTCCAAGAGCCCTCCCCCCTGCCTAAGGTCACCACCAAGGGTGTGGCAGAGCCAGCAGCAGATCTGGAATGCTTTGACCTTCAAAGCCAGATCATGACCTTCACGCTATCCTCTGTAGTTTCTGAGCAAGGGTATAACATGCTTTGTTTTCTAAGAAGAAGAAAAGAGTCCTTTCAGGAAAGTTAAGTCAGTTGGGAGGACTGGAAGACCAAGAGTAGCTCAGCCCTTGCACCCCGTAAAGAGAGCGCCCCAACGCCAGCCGTGAGTGGTCTGGACTGACCTTCTGCACCCAATGACTAATGGCCCGTACTACTCAGTCCACTGAGACCCCAGCTGTGTCTCCACGTTCTGTCATGCCCAGGCCGACTCTGAACTGACCCAGCCTGCAGATGAGGAGGGGGACCTGCGACCTGACCCAGGCCTGTGCCCCAGGTGTCCTGGCCAGCAGGGTCAGGACAGTGTTCAGCCGGGACAGGAGCCCGCGGAGGAGTCCTGGGTGGGCTCTCGAGACCTCACCCTAGCACGCCAACACACAGCTCCTCGGGGGCTCTGGCTGGTGTCTCCCGACAACCACTGCCACCTCTTACGGTCCCACCAGCCCCAGCCCCTGTGCTTGGCCACATCCAGCACAGACCAGAGTGACCTCGCCTGGCGGTGACAGCTGAGCCTACCCCTCAGTACCTCTGGTCCTCTCCGTGCCTCAGTTTCCCACCTGTTACATGGGCAATAAGACTCCACCTGTCCACACGCTGGCCTGTCGATGAAGACGGGAAGCCACAGCTGACGCTGGGCCACCTCTCTGGAGCCCAAGAGGTCCCCGAGTCACAGTGGCGGGAGGAGCAGAGGCAGGGGGCTGGCCCCGCAGCCTCACAGGGCCTAGAAACCGGCACGCCCGGCTGACTCTCTCCAGTTCACCACCAGCTGCACTCAGGAGGCCACCCCCGCACGGACACGGGACCTCCATTTCCACCGTCCCCTGGCTTCTACAGCCGAGAGCTGGGAGGAGAGCTGCCAGCTCCACTGCCCTGCCCAGAGACACTGGACGCCATGCCCAGGAGGGCCACCACGGCCCGGCCCTGGAGGCCGAGGGCTCCTGGAAGACCACCCGACCTCGAGACAGGCTGCTCACTGCCGTGCTCACTGCTGCCACACGGAAACCCCAGAGCGCAGGACGCGGCCGCCTTGGCGCACGTGAACAGGTGGTCGGGCGGGCTGGGCACGCTCCACCGCACACGGCCTCTGCTTGGGCGGGAGGGAGTGGCGCGACTCCCCTGGGCCGTCTGTGAGCAGCGAGGAGACCGGAGCGGCAGCGAGGAAGTCAGATCGACAGGAAGTGGGAGAAGAGTCAGCGTCTAGTCGTACTGATCCATGCTCGCTCCAAAAAGCAACACTTCAAACAGCACCATGACCACAAAAAGGTGCCACTACGGCTGGAATGGGTTCAGCGTGACCCTGTGGCAGGCAGGCAGGTGACCCTGGGATGACAAGCTGGCCACTCATTCCACAGGACAAGCTGAGACCACGTGCTCTCTCTGGGGCCCCAGTAGCCCAGACCACAAACGGATGGCAGAGACCCAGGATCTGGTAAAGGAACAAATGAGTGAAAGTCTGCGGAGCACTCCCAGGTGTCCCCAGCACCTGTCTCTGTCCACACCTGCATTCCCCCCCCCCCCGCATGGTGCGTCCACGTGGCCCAGCACGGCTGCCAATCCTCCAGCAGCCGTCCCCACCTCTGGACCCTCACTTTCAGAAGCACCTCTTCCAAAAGCAAGCAGCAGGTGGACCTGGGAACTGGTCACGACCACGGCACAGCCTACGCGCCTCCTGCACGGCCAACCAGATCTCCACCTGCACCCACTCAGACAAGAAAACTGAGGCTCACGGGGACCAGATCTGACTAGCTCTGCTCCAGTCGACTCCACAGCCCTGGTCATCTCAACACCACCAGGCTCCCAAGCTGTCACCTGGGCCACCGTGATGGCACAGGGCTCCAGCACTGAATCTGCAGAGCCCCGGATAGCAGTGGGTCCCGGGGAGCCCCCCAGGATCCAGCTCCTCCCCAACCCCAGGCAGAAGGGTGCAGCCAGTTGGACGATGGGGGATGCAGGGATTCCATTACCCCTGGACGACTGGAAGTGGGCACCTCCTTGGCTCAGGCCCCCTCTCTCGGCTGCACAGGCCCCGGAAAAAGGCACCAGCAGACTGAGCGATGAACAAACGCTTTTTTGCAGGGTCCCAGTGACCCTCCCTGGTGTCCAGCAGGGAGGCCACGGGCCCCTTCCTGCAGGAGCTGCAAGTGGGACCTTCCAAGGCCTCCCCCAGCCAGGGCTGGCACGGTGGGCAAGCAGAGGGGCCGCCTGCCTCAGGGAAGGGCTCTGCAGGAGCTGGCAGTTTGGCCCATGGGGCCAGGTCCTCAGGGCTGCAGAAAGCACCAGCCACGGCGGGCCTGGCTTTTGCACTCGGCCGTGCTCCCGGCACTCCACGCCCTCACCCGAGGGGGGCCAGCACGTCGGTGCCCTCCACTCTCTTCCATAACAGGGTCCGCCAAGCCGGGCATGTGCCGGTGTTGCCCAAGCCTGACATCACAGCTCTCCCGTGTCCTGGTCCTACAGGAAGAGGAACGTCTTGGGGATCACCACACTCACCTAATGGTGAGGGGAGGACCCAGGGCCAACCCACGGGCAGGAGGTGGACGGGCCACGGGTCAGGGGAGGTAGAGCAGCACAGGGTCTCCCTCTCTGACTCTGATCCAGGCTCCTGTGCCAGCCAGGCCCTCCCTCCACCCCAGGGAATGAAAAGCCCAGTCCCAGAACCAGGCGCCTGCAGACTGACCACCACAAGCCTCCTGACCTGACCATCCCAGCCCTCAGCTCTTAGCCCCCACTTCTGGACCCCTCCTCCTCCAAGAGGCCACCTTGCTGAGGCCACAGTGGGCCACCTTCCCCATGGGTTCACCCAACGCAGCTGGTGACTGGATGCCACAGACCAGCTGCTGCTCTGGCACTTTTGGGAGCTGAGCCTTGGATCACGCCGCTCCCGTGGCCTCAACGCCGCTCCCGTGGCCTGAATGCTATTCTCGTCCCCATTTCCCAAACTCTTCACTCTCCACCCAGCTCCTGAGGGGTCCTGGCCCTTCCCTCTGCCATGCCCACTCCTCCACCACCCTGCAGGACGCACCGTCACCTGAAGCCCGGCTCACCGACTCCTGGTGGGGCTGTGGACAGGAAGGGGCTTCCCAGAGAACCTGGGGAGCGGCTCCACAGGCTGGGGCAGGGCCCTGGTGGCCTGGATCTGAGGGGCCTGGTTTCTGAACCTAGACTCCAAACTCTTAACTCAAGAAAACCATGGCCAGGGTGCCTGTGACCGAGAGTCCTGCAGACCCGTGACGCAGAGCCTGCTCTGGACAGGCACCCACCATGGGCTGTGCCTGCCCTTCCCACACAGACAGAGCTCTGCGACGCCCCCACGCTGCCAAGCCATCGGAATCATCAGGACCAGCAGGAATGCAGCCCAGGAGAGCCAGTACCCAGCTCCCGGCTCCAGCCAGGGTCAGCCTGTGTCCACTCACACCCCCGACCACGGGCAGCTCATTCCAAGAGGTCGAGCAGCCCGCTCTGTGGAAAGAGCCGCCTGGCAGCCAAGCAGACAGCACATTCGCCTGGGGGTGCCACACTGTGAGGCCACCAACCCGCACCTGACCTTAAAGCACCTGCTGGTCAGCAGAGCACCCCACTCTCGGCTCTGCAGCCAGCCAGTGTGCGTACTGCAGGGCCCCAGCCCGGGGAAGGCAGGCGGGCTTATTGCAGAGCCAGAGCCTGGAAGGAAGGCATCTGCTCTCCGCCCACCACCCTCCAAGCCCCATGCTGAGGCCAATGGCTTGTTTGAGCCTCAGGGATGAAGAGTGGACCACAGTACCAGGGCTCTGAGTCAAGGTCAAAGCAAAATCGTTCTACAAAGCCAGCAGGAAATTGCTTCTCTAGAATCTCCAGTAGGGCCTCCTCCCCTGACCTGGTTCTGAACCCCACAGGAGGGAGGGCTGGAATCGCCCTCTCCCAGGCAGGCATGGCTCAGAGGGACTTCCCAGAGGCTGCCAGGGCTCCCCCCGCCGTGCCCCCATCCTCCGCACCCCCCGCTACAGCAACGCAGCCACAGGGGCAGCACAGGCTCACAAGTCATCCGTGAAATCGCCCTCTGTGCCACTGCATCCTCTCCATCTCATCTCCCCTCCAGAAAGTGGCCTCCAAGGTCACCCCAGAGCGCCCGTTCTCTTGTGCAATCGGGACGATTGCAGCACCACGCAGGGCTTAGCAGGCACTCTTGGCTATTCTGTTTCCCCGCTGCCCGCTTAAATTGAAGCCAGCGCATCCCTTAATGGCCAAACGCACCAGATTATCGCTCTCTTGTCTGAATGAAGGGGCCTCGCTGTCACCCTTCCTGCGGAGCCGAGACGTGGAAGGAAAAGTGTGATGGCAGCAACGGGGGCTCCCGAGCAGGAGGGCAGACCCAGCCTTTCCACGCTGGGAGCAGGCAACAGCCATCCTCCGTGAGCCGGAGGGCCAGCCAGGGACGCAGCAAAGGGGGACAGCTTCCCGACAGCAGCTGCAGAGGCCCAGGGCTGGCACAGCAAAGTGGGGTGGGCAGCTCTGAGCAACTTCTAACCCTGAAGGGTTGCTGCTCCCACCAGGTCCCCACGTAGAGTGTCTGCCAGGGACACGGGAGGAGCCTGGAGACCTTCCCCAGCCTCCAGGGTGCCTCCACGGCCCCAGCCCCCAGGAGCGGCCCCAGCCAGACCCCCTTGGGGGCCAGAGCCGATTCGCCAGCCTCATCTGTGCCCCCAGCAGCCGTGCACTCCAGAGTCCCCAGAGGACGACAGCCAGGCACTGGACAGCCAGGCTTGACTCCCACTCGGCCTGGACCCTGGGACCCGTCAAGTGCCCTCTTGGAGCCTCAGTGTCCTCCTGGGTCACAGCTGGCAGCACCCCACAGAGACCTCTGCCATGGCGGGGACACACTGCTGTACAGCTTGCTTCTGGACTGTCCGCAAAGGCCAGCTTGGTGAAGTCTCGGGGCAGTGGCAGAACCATCAAGAGGTGGGCCTGCGCGGAGGCCTTCTGGTCACTGAGGGTGTGCCGAGGGGCCTAACGGGCCCCCAGCCCTCCTCTCCCATTTTTTCATTTCCTCATGTCCTGGCCATGAAATGAGCAACTCTGCTCCAACATACGTTCCTGCATGATGTGCTGCTCACTCAGGCCCAAAAGCAATGGGGCCCATCAACCACGGACTAAAGCCTCCAAAACTGTGAGACAAAATAAACCTTTTCCCCTAATGAGCTGATTACCTCAGGTATTTTGTTACAGTAATGGAATCTGACTCACATACTTACTGTTAGGGTGGGAAGGTGAGGTGCCCCCCAGAAGCTCCCATGTGGGACATGCAAGAAAGTTCAGAGGAGAAGTGATTGGGTTGTAAGAGTCTTAACCCAACCAAGCGAATTAATCCTCGATAGGGGTGGACCGAGTAGTAACTGAGGTGCTAGGGTGCGGCTGGGGGTGGGACCTGGGCCTGGCTTCCGTCTATATTTGTATCTGGCCAGTGGAGCTCCCCCTGCTTCCTGACCGTGATGTGAGCTGCTCCCCTCGGCCACCCTCTCCCACCATGAGGCTCTGCCCCACCTGGAGCCCTGAGGAATGGACGGCCTTCCATGGACGAAGACTCTGAGACCCTGAGCCCGCAGATAAACCTTTCCTCCTGACGTTGTTCTGGTCGGGTCCCCGCGTCACAGCAGGGAAACAGCCGACTACAATGCCTACCGAGCAGGAAGACTGCACTACACACTTCAGGTGGTCAGCTCTGCCCATGGGAAAGTGACCACCAAGCGGACACCACGCCCAGCTTACAGATGAGAAGAGCGAAGCGTCTGGAGGCCCAGAGGCTCGCCCAGCTCGGTAGCGACAACAAGGGGCCATAAACAAGGGGCTGGAGGAGCAAGAGGAGGACCCGGCAGAGTCGGCCTGGGGCGCCAGATGGCACAATGCCACTTGTTGGCACCCACTGGGCAGAGAGAGGGGCGGGCTCTTCAGGCTCCACCCCCAGGACCTCACTACCCCCAACGCCCTCCCAAGGCCTCCTACCACGTCAGGTAGGGGGCACAGTCACTGGCACCAAGGGCAGGGGCTGCTGGTGACCTGTGGGGAGAAGCCTGCAGGTACCACTAGACTAAGGCTCTCGAGGTCATCTAGGCCACCTGGTGAGGAAGAGCCCCACAGGAGAAGGGAGGAGAGGGGCCACGCGGCCACGTGAAGACGAGGCAGACACTGCAGCATGTGGCGGGAGCCAAGGAGCACCAACCCCCAGGGCACAGAGGCAGGGCGACCCCACCCCGGGCCTCGGGCAGCCTGGCCCTCCACAGCTGCACTCTGGACTTCTGGCCTCCAGAACTGTAAGAACATCAGTCCCTGTGGCCGCAAGGCCCCCGCTGTGCTCACATTAGGGCAGCGCCAGATGGCCACGGCTCTGAGCCTGGTGCCCTCGGCCCTGTGACACACATGCCCACCACCATGGGCACTGGGCAAACGCCATGGGGTGGATGGCGGAGCGGGTGAGCTGAGGCTGGGAGAGAAACTAAGGCAGAGTCCTCAGGGACTCTCCAGCTCTGCCAGCTCTCTGCACTCACACTGCGCAGGTTCCTGTGGCTCCCTGCCTGGTGCCAGACGCGGGCAGCCACTAGGGCCTCACAAGGTGGGTTCCCCAGACCCCGGGCAGCCACTAGGGCCTCACCAGGAGGGTCCCCAGACCCCGGGCAGCCACTAGGGCCTCAACAGGCGGGTTCCTCACCCAGGCCCCCCCCAGGTCTCTTTGGGGAAACAAGCCCCCAAGACACCCCCAGTTGGGCAGGAAGTCAAAACAGCCTATGTGGGCTGAACGCTGGACGCTGTGGTGTCCAGCTCCACCCTGAATTGGGGTTGGGGCACAGAGAGGGGGTGGGGCAGGCCCAACCAGCTTTCAGTCAGAGATTTGGGTTCACCCTGGATCCTCCCAGCCAACCTCCCTGGGAACCCTGCCTCCGACCACAGCCCCAGCTGCCCACAAGTCTCAGGCCCAGACCCATCTGTCCAGGAGCTACCTCCATACAGCCACAGGAAGGTGGCAACCCTGCTGGTCCTCATGGGCGGGCTTGGTGGGCCCAGCTGGTCCTCGTGGGGGACTTGTGTGGGCGCTGCAGGGAGTGGTGGGTGGGTCTGGGGAGCTCTGCCTTCATGCAGTTCTGAATTTCTTCTCTGGTTTGGGTTTTGGTTTCTTCCCCCATAGGCAGGTCCCAGACCTTGAACTTCTTGAACTTCTAAAAGACACCTGCCTTGGGAGCCGGGGCCAGGAGGAGAGGACCCCTGAGTGTATGACAGTGGCCACAGGCACACAGCGGGTCTCTGGGCTTCACCTTCCAGATATTCAGAACACAGGCCGGTGGCGGCGAAGCTGCACTTTCCATGAAGTCCAGTGGCACCAGTTCCAGGCCCTCAGAGGGAAGGAGCAGGGGTGGGAGGGGGCGCCACTGGTGCCCAGCGAACAGCTGGGCTGCGGGTCAGGAATGTGGGCAGCTGCAGGAGCCCAGGGTGAGAGCAGCCCTGGGCCTGGGGCCACCGCCCAGCTGTCCCCCATCAGGAAAGCTGGGCCTGGGCTGCTATTCCAGATGGAAGCCAAACGCCTGCCAAGACCCAGCAGCTGTGGGTCATCAGGCGGGCAGACTGCAGAGGGCGGGGCTCCCACCTGCAGCCTCTCCTTCCCCGGGCCCCACCTGAGCCCTGCAGTAGGCGAGGCCCCTGCCCAAGCTGCCAGGGCCTCGGCCGACCGCTTCTCACTTGACTGTCCCTCCTTGTGCACCCTAGGCCAGGACGGTCACCCGGTCTTACCAGGTGGGAAGGCCGAGGTCCAGACCAGCACTCTAGAGCACACCTTTGCTGGCTTACGGCAGGTCCTGCCTCATGTGGGCAGGGAAGAAAGGGTCTGGACACGGCTCCTGGAGAGTTTGGTTTGATAAAAATAAGGAGAGGGGGCTGGGGCTGGGGCTCAGTGGCAGAGCACTCGCCTCGCACATGAGGCACTGGGTTCCATTCTCAGCAGCACACAAAAATAAAACAGAAGTATCGTGTCCATCTACAACTAAAAAACGTATTTTAAAAAAAGTAAGAGGAGGGAAGTGGGCCTCGGGAACCTGCAAAGCCCCCACCCTGCACCGCCACTGGCCACAGGGGCTTGGCTCTGTCCAGCTGCTGATTGCTCTTTCTCCAAGGGGATGGTGGGGAATGACACACAGGAGGGACAGGAGACCCTGGGTGCTGGCACCTCCTCAGTGACATGGTGTCCCCAGCTCACCCCAGGGATGGGGAAGACCCCTGGCTGGGCCAAGCATTTCCCCTCCCACCCTCCCCCAACCCCGCCCGCTGGGCATCCCGGCTGTTCCCACAGCTTCGGCGCCTTTCTTTTGTGCGGAGTGAACAGCTGTGGCCATGACAGCTTGCCCCGAGTTTGAGGGGCTTTTCCTTCAAAGCAATTCCCACAGCGGGGCCAGCGGTCCCACCCTTCCCCCCACACTCTGTATTGGTGCGTCACAGTCGTTGGTGGGATCTGTTGTTGCATGTTCACACACACACACACACACACACACACACACACACACACACACATGCACAGGGTAACAATACAATCTGGCCAGCGTCACTCCCCAGCCCTTCCCCCTCCCTCCCCACATGCCAACCCTTGGTCCTCTCCTCTAGGGGTCTCT